GGGGAGGGAGAGAGATGGGGAGGAAGGGGTGAGACACAGGGAAAGGAGGGGGAGATAGATGGGGAGGAGGGGGGAGAGACACAGGGAAAGGGGGGAGGAGGGGAGAGACACAGGGAAAGGGGGGAGGGAGAGAGATGGGGAGGAAGAGACACAGGGAAAGGGGTGAAAGAGGCAGAGGGGGAAGAGAGAGACAAAGAGGGAGAAATGAGAGAGAGACACACAAGGGGAGGGGAAGAAAGAGGCAGAGGGGGAAGAGAGAGACTGGGAAGGAGAGGGGAGACATTGACACAGAGGAGCAGGGAGGGGGAGAAAGAAACATACAGAGTGACTGGGGGAGACAAAAAGGCACACAGAGGGGCTGGAGATAAAGAGACACACATAGGGGCAGTATATATCACAAAGCCCCCAAGGCTTTCCCCTGCCGGCCGATCTCCCTCCCCGCTCCACAGGCACCGTGCAGCCAGTCGGCAGGGGAGGAAGAGAGGACCTCCGGCTCTCACGAGGGTGAACTCTAGCCCTGGAGCTAAGGGCTAGAGTTCACTCTCACCACTTCCTGGTGGTCCCAGTAGTAGGAGTGAACTCTAGCCCCATACACACACTGCCCTACACACACACCATACACATTCACACACTGCCCTCCCCCCCACACACACACACACCATACACATTTACACACTGCCCACCCACACACTGAACCTTTCACACACATTGCACCACTGCTCCTATACCCTACTACAGCCCCATATCCCAGCAGACTCCAGGTAAGTTGTCAAACTGTTCTTAAGCGGTTTGACGACTTACTCTGGGAGGGGGTGCCGACGCTCCTGGCACCATAACCACTACACAGAGGAGTAGTGGTTATTGTGCATGGAATATTTCTTTAAATAATCTACAAGTGCCCCTCTCAGGCTCAGGCTCAGGCTCTGGATCCGCCATTAGTATATGACATGTATATTAATGTGTGTATTAGTTTTATATATATATATATATATATATATATATATATATATATTATATTTACACATATTAATGTACATTTATAAATGCATAATACACAGAGAAATTTCATTAATATGTACCATATGTAATGAGCAGATATTAGCCCAGTCTTGTTGCTAGGTGCATACTCCAGCACAATAACATATTTAAAGTGAAGAGCACACCCACAGGACTTCAAAATAAAAAAATTTCAGTTGTGCCCTACATACATTCACCATTTCAGTCCCATTAACAAGCTTTCCTTAATATGTCAAGGTAGTTGGACTGACACATTGATTACATGCAAAGGCACGTCTGCTTAAAATAAATCTGCACTTTTGTTTATTTTGAAGCCTATGAGTGCGCTTTTTACGTTGAAGTACTTTTTAATTTTAAGTTATCTGTTCTAACTCTGTATCTGCACACTATGCTGGTGTGATGCATTATGGGGCTGGTAAATATTTTTTTTCCAGGGCTGCTTTTAATTCCCAGTCCGGCCCTGATCCTAAGGCACACCTGTGCAATAATCATGCTGTCTAATCAGCATTTTGAAATGCCACACCTGTGAGGTGGATAGATGATCTCAGCAAAGGAGAGGTGCTCACTAACTAACTAACTCAGGCACCTGACAGAGCAAGGTAAATATCAAACCATTAGTAATAAAAAAGTGACAGTTTACTATGGGAAGGACCCAAGTGTGCTCCTTGCACTATAACCACTACAATCAACCATATGTGTCTGGGTGGGATACTTAAAGGGACACTGAAGGCACTATAACCATATCATGTCATTGAAGTAGTTATAGTGCCTGGAATCACATGCTGCTGTACCTCCATTCAGTGTTAACCATTTTTTAGCAATTCAACACCGAATGAGGGTCCCTTGCTTCCCACACTCTGGCCCCTGCTGTAGCTGTGGCTAACACAGAGATTACACACCTCCTTTTAGCTATAAAAATTCATACCAGAAATAGGCACTGTGATAGACCTAAATGCTGTCGGACACTCAGCCGATCACAGCCGCACACTATTCTAAGGCTAATACGGTGTCCCTACCAAAGGTGGCTTGCCAAGACTCCAGAGAAATAAATAGAATTTAGGAAAGTACTGCCCAGCTTACTTTCAATATATTTTGAGCTGTTTTGTTTTTCTAAGCAAAGATCACATGGGATTGTCAGTATGGAAACATCTCATCAATTCCATGCGTAGTTAAGAATACTTTGACATTCGTCTGACAGTTACTGTGCATTACACACTATTATTAAAGAAACCATAAGAAACCATAAGTTACGCAGAAAGCAATGAGGAGCGAGGAATATGTATATCAGCCATAGCTCGCATGGTTTCCATATTCTAAATATCTCCCGAAACAAGGTAATTTACTGAAATATTGAAAAGAAATTAGCAATCACCATGGACACCAACATAATGCTGCTGCTGGTTGCTCCAATTTTGCCCAGGACCAGGGCCAGATTAAGAGCCCAGTGGGCCTGGTGCTGACAATTATGATGGGGCCTAATTACAAAATCTTATTGACCAAAAACACTAAAACAGTCCTACCTCCCAAGCATGTATCTGATGGAGATGGTGCTGGAGGGAAACTCAAAGGATGCAGCACTAGTGATGTACCGAACGGTTCGCCGGCGAACGGTTCCTGGCGAACATAGCATGTTCGCGTTCGCCACGGCGTGCGAACATATCTTGTGATTCGACCCGCCCCCTATTCGTCATCATTGAGTAAACTTTGACCCTGTACCTCACAGTCAGCAGACACATTCCAGCCAATTAGCAGCACAGCCTCCCTAGCAGACCCTCCCACCTACTGGACAGCATCCATTTAGATTCATTCTCAAGCTGCATGCTTAGTAAGAGGAGGGAAAGTGTAGCTGCTGTTCATAAGATAGGGAAAAGCATAGCTAGGTTAGGGATAAGGGTATGCTTTTTTTGGATTTTTTTTTCTATGTAATGTAAATGCACTTAGTTGTCTGCCACTGCTGCCAGCTTCTGTGTCAGGCTCACAGTGCCCATTTCTCCAGTCAGTGCCACCAATTACATCTGGTGTCACAATAGCTTGGATTTAAAAACAAAAAACTTTTTCACTGTTATAGATTGAATAGCAGTCAGTTGTCTGCCACTGCTGCCGGCTTCTGTGTCAGGCTCACAGTGCATACTGTGCCCATTTCCCCAGTCAGTGCCACCAATTACATCTGGTGTCACAATAGCTTGGATTTAAAAACAAAAAACTTTTTTCACTGTTATAGATTGAATAGCAGTCAGTTGTCTGCCACTGCTGCCAGCTTCTGTGTCAGGCTCAAAGTGCATACTGTGCCCATTTTAGAGTCGAAAGTGCCACAATTACATCTGGTGTCACAATAGTTTTGGTTTTAAAAAAAAATAATCTTTTTTCACTGTTATAGATTGAATAGCAGTCAGTGTCCTTAAAGCGGGTGTGTTACGCTAACAGTGGATACGCTGACAAGTGCCACTAATTAGATCTGGTGTCACAATAGTTTGGATTTAAAAAAAAAATAATCTTTTTTCACTGTTATAGATTGAATAGCAGTCAGTGTCCTTAAAGCAGGTGTGTTGCGCTAACAGTGGATA